CCTGGACCACGCTTTGAGGAGGAATCCTGTCTCCCTGGTACTAGACCACTTTGTCAACTGTTTTTTGTTGTTGTTGTTTTGTTTTGTTTATCTGTTTGTTTTTGAGACAGAGTCTCGCTCTGTTGCCCAGGCTGGAGTGCAGTGATGCGATCTTGGCTCACTGCAACCTCTGCCTTCCAGGTTCAAACGATTCTCCCACTTTAGCCTCCTGAGTAGCCGGGATTACAGGCATGCACCACCACACTCAGCTAGTTTTTGTATTTTTAGTAGAGACGGAGTTTCACCATATTGGCCAGACTGGTCTGGAACTCCTGACCTCAAGTGATCTGCCCACCTCAGCCTCCCAAAGTGCTGGGATTACAGGCGTAAGCTACTGCATCTGGCCTCAACTATTTCTTTTTTTTTTCTTTTTTTTTTTTTTTTAAGACAGAGTCTTGCTCTTGTCACCCAGTCTGAAGTCACTGCAACCTCCACCTCCCGGGTTCAAATGATTCTACTGCCTCACCCTCCCAAGTAGCTGGGATTACAGGTGTGCACCACCATGCCTGGCTAATTTTTGTATTTTTAGTAGAGATGGGGTTTCACCATGTTGGCCAGGCTGGCCTCGACCAACTGACCTGAAGTGATCCACCTGCCTTGGCCTCCCAAAGTGTTGGGATTATAAACATGAGCCACCGCACCTGGCCTTTCAACTGTTCTTAAGAAAGAGGGAACAATGGCTTGAGGACTGCCACCAGATGGCTCATCAGCCTACCACAGCCTCCCTTATAGAGCACAGTCCTGGGTGGGGGTGGCATGCCAGCATAGGAGAGGGAGCAGCAAGGAGCTGTCATAACTGACCTTGGGTGTCCTTATTTCTTCCCAGGGCTGCACTTGGGGCGTGGCATATCAAGTGCAAGGGGAGCAGGTAAGCGAAGCCCTGAAGTACCTAAATGTGCGAGAGGCAGTGCTTGGTGGCTACGATACCAAGGAGGTCACCTTCTATCCCCAAGATGCTCCTGACCAGCCACTGAAGGCATTGGCCTATGTGGCCACCCCACAGAACCCTGGCTACCTGGGCCCTGCTCCTGAAGAGGCCATCGCCACACAGATCCTGGCCTGCCGGGGCTTTTCCGGCCACAACCTTGAGTACTTGCTGCGTCTGGCAGACTTCATGCAGCTCTGTGGGCCTCAGGCGCAGGATGAGCACCTGGCAGCCATCGTGGACGCTGTGGGCACCATGTTGCCCTGCTTCTGCCCCACTGAGCAGGCTCTGGCGCTGGTGTGAGGGGCTGAGCCCCTGCGGGGAGTGCCCATGTGGACATCAAGGCCAGACCCCCACTCCAGTGCACAAGACAGACTTGCGACCGCTTGAGCCCGCTGAGCAGACATGGTGGGTGGCTGGAGGCTTCTCTTTCTCAGCCCCTGCCAGTCTGCCAGCCTCCAGCTCTCCTGCTTTAAACTTACTACTTGAAACTTTATTTATTGCACCATGTTGGTGTGGTGGGCAGGCGGAGGACCTGCCCTGGACACAGGGAGCCCTGCTGAGCAGTGGCCCCATCCTGGAACTTGACCAGATTCCCCCAAGTGCTGCTGCTAACCCCACACCACCCAGGCCTCCACCTCCCCAGGGAGTCTCCAAGAGGCTCGATCCTTTGCTCACTCAGCCCAGCCATCCATAGCCCTGGGAATTCCACCTGCCAAGGATCCCAGCAGGCTGGACGAGGGATAGTAGGGCATGAAGAGAAGGAGCTCTGCAAGGACTGAGGCCCCGGCCAGCCCTTCTCCTCCACTGGTTCCCCAGGGCAGAGCTGGAGCTGATGCCTGGACACAGCTGCTGAGCCTGGCCTGGGCCTCTTACTCATTTGGTGGTTTCCTTGTCCCTCTGTCTGTCTATCTACTTGTCTGGGCCACTCCTGCCTGTGTGTTGGTCTATTCCTGGGAAGCTCATCACTACTGGCCCTGACAGCTTCCCAGTCTGTCCCATACTGTTATCCATAAAACTATCTCTTTATCTGTGCTGGGCTGGAATGTGGTTCTTTCTCAGGTGGGGGTTTGGGGCAAGCGAGGTGGTGATGCCCTGGAAGGCTCCTAAGAAGGGAAAGGGCTCCCTCTTTCTCTTCTTCCCTCTCTCCCAGGGAGGGGCAGCTGGGCAGGCAGAATTAGCAGGTGACATCACTCTCACGGGTACAGTTCATACCTTACACATGCAAATAGTGCCCCCTGAGTTGTGCAGAATTCAGCTCATGCTCTACTTGGCAGCGCTGTGAGCAGTGTCCTTGCCACCGACCTGGACTCTGTCTCATCCTGCCCAGCTGCCCAAGGAGGCTGGCAGGCTTGGAGCTCAGACCAGCTCTTTCTCCAGCTGCAGGGCCAGCGGCTGCCTCTTCGTAACAGCTGGGCCAGAACCCTGGGGTCCTGCCAAAGGAGCCTATAGGTTAGGGTAGGGTGATGACAACTTCTGAGGCAAGGCTGATGGCAGGGGCCTGTAGCCTGGAGGACCTGGTGTCTCTGTTGCTCTCAGAGTCTGAGTGCTCACTGTTGCCTCTGGGATGTGGCCTTGTCTGTGCCTTCTGCATTGCCATCCCCTGCCCCGGCTCACCCACACTGGACTGTGGGCCCCAAGTTTGCCCTCTGCCTGTCCCCAGATGTTCTTGTCTAGCTCTTGGGGACAGATCACAGCTCCGGGATCTCAGCCTGGTCCTGAGCTTCTCATCAGGAGTGGCCTCTTAGTGCTACTCAACCGCTGGACTTGCAGAATGGGGCAGAGCCAAAATGACAGGCTTTAGCAGTAGAATAGCTTGAGGTCAAGGGCTGGGCATGGTGGCTCATGCCTGTAATCCCAGCACTTTGGGAGGCCAAGGTGGGAGAATCACTTGAGCCCAGGAATTCGAGACCAGCCTGGACAACATAGTGAGACCCTATCTCTATAAAAAATACAAAGGAAATTAAAAAAAAAAAAAGTGCCTTGAGAGTCCAACCCAGCCTCCTCCTCATTGCCCAGTCACCTCGGGAAAAGCCTTCAGCCCTCTTGGCATGAGTTCAGTCTCTGTGAGGGGACGATGCTGTGGGATGATGTATGGGGCAGGCTGGGTAGTATGTGTAGCTGCTGTTCTTGTGGCCGGTGTCCTGGATTGGTCTTGGTGTCCCTGGCAGGGTCAACTCCAATCAAATTGGGCAGCCGTTGTGACTGGGGAGGTGCCATGCCTGGGCCGTGTGCTCCTGTCTTGGCGGCGTTGTGTCTTGGCCATTGATAGGAAGAGTGTGGAGTCCAGCCAGGTTCTTCTGGGAGCCTGGTGAGGGCAACACAAAAGGAGGAGGCAGCAGGTGGCAGGGAGCCCTGGACAGCTGCCTCCTGTGCTTCCTGGGCCTCTTGCCAGCCAGCCAGAGCAGAGCCCTGCTCTACCCTGGGAGTTGATGGTGGGGAGGGCTGCTGCCAGCTGCACGTAGCGGGCTTGCATCCATCAAGCCGTTCAATCAGCAAGTATTTCCTTAAGCTCCCACTGTGTACCACGCACCATTGCAGGCTCTGGGGATACAGCGGTAAAGAACTCCTCCTCCTCAAGGAACTTGGAGTCTAGAAACTGATGGTGACCATTCAGCATGGAATAGGAGGAGAAGAGGGCCTTGCGCACCCAGAAAGGGCTTCTGACGTGAGCAGGGCGGTCAGGGAAGGCCGCCTTGGCTTTCTCGGAGAGGGAACCTGAGAAGGGGCTTCTCAGGAACAGAGAGTAAGGGAACAGCACGTGCCTGAGGGGAGGCAAGCTCAGACCAGCGGGAACAGAGTAGCTCGGACAGGTGGCAGGACTGCCGGCCTGGTGACCTGTGCTGTGCCATGCTGCGGGGTCGCATTCCTCCTGGGCCAGTGGGGGCCTCTGGTGGATTCTGAGCAGGGCAGAGATGTGCTTAAGAGAGAACACTGGCTGAAGTCAGATTGGAGGCGAGAGGCCAGAGGGAGGTGAAGGGTGCCCAAGCCGAGGCATGCCAATGGGAATGGACAGGGGAGGGATTGCAGAATCGTTTAAGGGTGAGGTTGACAGCATTTGGTGGCTGGTTCGATAAGCAGAGTGAAGGGAGGGTAGGGACAGTAGGGCTGGGGCTCCTGGGGCGGTGGCAGATCTGGAAAGGGTTGGGGGAAATAGCCTTGCGTTTAAGGTAGGGGTGCCTGTGCGGGGAGGAGGGACTTCCACGGGGATGTTCAGGGCAGCCGGATATATTGGTGTGGGAGTCAGGAGAGAAAGCTGGGCTGGAGTTAGAGACTTGGGAACCACACATGTGGAGACAGGGCTTAAACCTCTGGTAGGGGGAGGAGAGAACAGGGCCGGGCCAGGCCCTGAGGAGCCCAGCCCTGGTGGTCTGAGCAAAGCAAGAAGAGGTGTCAGGAACCAGTGCTGGAGAGGTAGGCGGAGAACCAGGAAAGGCAGCGTGCGGAGAGCCAGGGTGGAAGGTGTCTCTAGGAGGCGCACGACGTGGTCACGCTGCCAAGATGTCAAGGGAAAGGAGGACGGAAGAGTGTCCACTGGATGAAATGCCAGGGGGGTCCCTTGTGGCTTCAGTGAGAGCAATTTCAGGAACAGTATGGGAAGCCACAGGGCAGGGCCGAGGATCCAGTGGGAGGGGAAGCAGCTTTCAGGAAACATGGTTGCTAAGAAGAGAGAGAAACAGGGATAACTGAGGAAACGGTAGGTGCAGGGCTCTCAGGACCCCTTCACAAATGAAAAATTGTGGAGGACCCCAAGAGCTTTTGTTTATGTGGGATATAGTTATTAACATTTACCGTAGTAGTGTGGTGGCTCACGCCTGTAATCCCAGCACTTTGGGAGGCCAAAGGCAGGCAGATCACTTGAGGTCAGGAGTTCAAGATCAGCCTGGACAACATGGTGAAACCCCGTCTCTACTAAAAAATACAAAAGTAGGCCAGGGGTGGTGGTGGGCACCTGTAGTACCAGCTACTTGGGAGGCTGAGGCAGGGGAATCACTTGAACCTGGGAGGCGGAGGTTGCAGTGAGCCAAGATCGTGCCACTGCACTCCAGCCTGGGCAACAGAGCAAGACTCCATCTAAGAAAAAAAAAAAAGTTTTCTGATTGTTTCTTTTCCTCTTTAGTTGGGAGAGACTTGAGCAGGGTGATGTTTGGGTGCCCAACCTTAGGCTGCAGCATTAGGGAATTTCAGAGTTAGCAGAGGCTACAGAATCATCCCATCCGTGCCTCTAGGACATCCTCCTGGAGAGCCAGGAGTCGCTGGGTAGGATCAGCCCATTCATTGCTTTTTATTGAGCCTACAACAGTCCAGGCCCCTTGGCCTCCCACTGCTGTGGGCAGCAGACAAACACAACCACTCTCACACCTGGCCTGGGAAGGGTAACGGGAGCTCAGGGACGGGCAAGGCTGGCTGGCTCTGGGGCCCTCAGAGAAGCAGTAGAAATCCAGCAGGTAGAAGGGGCATTCCGGCAAAGAAGAAAGGGCCACGCTGAGTGGCTGACGCTCTGGGGCACTGGGGAGGAGGCAGGAAGCTGCTCCGGGGTTCGATGGTAGAGGAAGTGTTAGAGGACAAATGTAGAGGACATTCTCTTGTAGAGAAGTTGACTTCTGTAGTGATGTTTGTGTTTTTTTCATGTTTTCCTTCCCACCGAAGGGTCTCTTGTTTGTTTTGTTCTTTTTCTTTGTTTTGTCTGCTTTAAGGTAGACTCGTGTATTGTTCAGGCCCAGAGGCTTGTGCTTGTAGCCATAGAAAGATGGGTTGCCGTGCACAAGACGTGACGGGAGGCTGCTGAGATGTTCCAGGCAGGTGCTGGCGAGGCCTGGAGGAAAGACAGGAGCTGGGACGGTGGTGGATCTGCCTCCTGGCAGCCCGCTGGAAATTGAAGCAAGCAGAAGGGAGGAGATTGGGGATCCCAGGACTTTGCCAAGAGGGTGGGGTCTCTCATCAGTAGGGGACAGGGACCGTGCAGGAGGATGTGGCCTTCGTGTACCTTTCTAGGGCTGGTGGGGGTCTCTCCAGGTTGTCCCCCACTGGGCTACAGGAAGGACCGCATTCCTCTGAGGGCTGTCTGCCCTTGAAGAAGGAAATGTTAGTTGGAGAAGCAGAAGGTGTGGGAAGAAGGACCACAAATGGGTGAGACTCCCCCGTTCCCCAGGCCTGGATCTGAAGAGGTGTCGGATGCTCCAGGGCCAAGGCCAGGAGAGGGGAGGCAGTGATCACAGGGCGTGTCCCAGATGGCCGGAGTGTGAGCAGAGGGCCCCGCCGCTCCGTGAGGGTAGGGCGACCGTGGATCCTGGCATGGCCAGGTCAGCCCTAGTTTATTCTGTTGTTCTGCAGTAATTATGACTTTGACTCTCAAAAGTGTCCCAGTTTGGACACTAAATTACATGGTGGCTATAGAGAACTGGGACACAGCAGGGTCACTTTATTAATGGAGCTGGTGGCTGTCAGATGGGCTTGGCCAAAGCCTGCAGGAGCCTGTCCTCTACCCTTCACCGCCAGCCCAGCGACTGGGGCCCCGCTCAGGGCACAAAGCCCGGGGTGGCGGCCAGGGAGGACCGCTGTCCTCTATCCTTCCTCTTACTGCTTGTGGAGAGTCCCCTGCAGGCCTGTCCTTCCTCCTCAGCTCGCCCTGGCCTCACCCTTGCCCCAGGCATTTCTTTGGGCATGAGGAGAGCTCAACACACCCTGAAGGTTCAACCAGGTCCTCAGCCTTTCCTGGTGGCACCATCTTTACCCCAGGGAACTCAATTTTCTGTACCCCCGCCCCGCCCCCCAGCCCTAGCTGAGCCTTCCTGCCTCTCCTCCCTGCTTGGGACTGCGCTATACACTCCTGGCTCTCACCCCTGTGCCTCCGTTCCTCCGCCTGCCACTGCTGTCCCCATTTTGGCTCCATCCTGGGTCTTGCCCCTCGCCAGGCCTCTGCCTGGACCATCCGTTCCCCAGGAAGCTTCAGCCCTGGGGTGCCCATGCCCACAAGCCCACCCCAGCCCTGACACCTCCCAGCCGAGCCAGGAACCTGGGTCCGGGCTCCCTCCTCAACCCTCGAAAGTTCTGCCCATCTCACCTGCCCTAAGAATTTGTGGTACCTGCCCTACTTCCACCACTGTCACCCCACTCTTTCCAAATGCATCTACCATCCTGTTCTGTGCCCTGTATATTCATTTTCCACATAATTTAAAATGCAGGTCTGGCCAGGCCCCCTCCACACGGACAACCTGGGTCCTGCTCTCCCCAGACCCCAGCCACCTGCGACCCCTCCTGCCTTATGCTACCTGTGGCCACTCAGCCTTTGCTCCTGCTGCTGTCCCAACTGAGACGTCCTTCTAACCACCCTCTCTCACCCTCAGCACCTGCCCTGGCTTCACGCTGCTGCCTCCCAGCCACCCGGTACCCTCCACAGCGCCGCCCCTGCCGCTTCTGCCTGGATCTGTTCTGTGCCCAGCCCGTGTTACTGGCTTGATCTACTTGCAGGTCTGTCCTCACCAACTCGAACACCCCCGAGGGCAGGAACGGTTTACCTCAGCATAAAGCACAGTTCCGGGGCCCCAGGAGGAGCTCAGAGGACCTGTGGGAAATGTGGTTCCCATGGGCAATGACTCCCTGAATGCAACGTCACGTGTCACCTTGGAGGGAAAGACCCCATAAAAACCTTAATCATATTCAAGGGTAAGTGCCAGCCTGCCTCCCCAGGCTATTACTCAATCTGAAGGTTTATGTGCAAGGTGCAGGAATGTGGGGCTGGAAGCCACATGGGCAAGGGCAGACCAGCCAGGCATGGCGGCCCTGGCGGGTACCTGATTGCGGCAGCACAGACCACACTGCTGGCCCCCACCTCCATCTTGGCTGGGTTTGTTTCTTTCTTCCTTGATCTGTCTGTGAGAGGCCAGGGCCCCAAATGCATACCAGGGGAAGGGGCTGCCTCTTGCTAGTTCCCCCACCTGGGGTGCTAAGCTAGAGGGGCATTTGCGTCTTTCATGGAGTGGCGTCCCCTCGCCCACCATCTCTCTCCTGTCCCGACAGGAAAGGAGCTTGGCTCTTCCTGGGCACAGCCTAACGATGTTGGTGACTGGGGTAGGAAGGGGACTCAGGTGAGTAACGTACCCACCTGCGGCTTCCCCCAGCCAGTCATGTCCAGCCAGGCACAGCCCCTCATGGGGCCCAGTCATGTCCTGTGCCAGGCAAAGAGGGTGGCAGGAGAAGGGGAGGGGCTCTGGCAGGAGGGATGGGGAGTCCATGGGTGGTGAAAGCTGATGACAAGCTGCTCACATGGGATGCCTTCCATAGGAGCAGGCCCGTGCCTGTGGGGTTTCCAGAGGGAGACCTGGTTCCTTCTCACAGGCCACCTGCAGCTGTACAGTGTGATGTGCACTGACAGATGCGCGCTGGTGGGGCAGAAACCTGGGACATCCCTGCCACAGACAAGGACCTTCTCACCTTGGGGCTTGTACCCTTCTCCATTTCCTCATCCTAAAAATCTCATCCCTACCAGCTCTACCCTAGCTAATTTGTCACTCAGGCTCCAGGGCTCAGTTGAGATGTCACCTCCTCTAGGAAGCCTTCCCTGAACCTTCCCTACCCCTGACCACCTAGGTCTGGCTTTGGGGCCCTGCCATGCATCTCTGCCACTCGTGCTGTTTCTCTTGCAGCTTCTATTGCACCATGTCCTCGTCGATTCTTCTTCATTCTGTGAGCCCAAGAGGGCAGGGACCAAGGTCATGTATCCCAGCAGAGCCTGCACACAGGAGGTACCTAGGTCGTGTTGGTTGGCTGAAAGCCCTGTCACCCAGCAAGAGGCAGGCAGTGATGAGGGGACCTCAGAGGGGTGCTCTGGACTGTTACCTCAGAAGAGGAACTATGCAGAGTGGGGCGGGCTGGCTGGGGATGCAGCCGAGGGAGGAGGCTGACCTCCCATGGCCACCCCGCACCTCCACGTGCACCAGGGCTTCCCCCGGGATCAGGGCACTGAACTGCTGTTTAGATGCAAAGAAAGAGTCCTGGGCTGGGAGTCTGGAGGTTCCAGTCTCTGTTTTCAGCAGTGTGTTTTAGTCAAGGCACTTTTACTCTCTCTGGACTTCTGTCTCCTCAAATGCAAAATGAAGAGCTGGACCGGAAACTTGTTCCATCCAGTTCCAATATCTCCTCTTTTGCACGAAGGATGTGGGCTTGGAGTCAGAGGAACTGGGTTCAAGAGCTGGGGCTCCATTTACCAGATGTAAGTCCTTGGCCAGGTTACTTAATCTCCCAAAGCTGCCATTTTCTCACCTGTAGAGTGGGACTGACAACCATTAGCTACCTCTCAGATTCTTGGGATTAGATATGCTTTCGGGTGAAAACACTCCATACGCTTTAAGGCACTATGTGACTGCTGGTTATTATTGTGGTTATTTTTTCTTTTCTATTTAATTAATTAATTAATTATTATTTACTTAGCAACAGGGTCTCCCTATGTTGCCTAGGCTAGCCTCAAAACCCAGGGCTCAAATGATCCTCCCATCTTGGCCTTCCAAAATACTGGGTTTATAGGCAGGAGCCACCCACCCAGCCTTGTTGTTATTGCCCTTGATAGCATTATTTTTCACCAATACCTAATTAGTTATTTGATGATCTCTCATCTCACTAGAGCTAAGCTCCAGAAGGCAGGAGCTGGCATGTTCCTGTTTTGTTTTGTTTTGGTTTTGGTTTTGGTTTTTTGTTTTGTTTTGTTTTGTTTTGTTTTTTTGAGACGGAGTCTCTCTCTGTTGCCCAGGCTGAAGTGCAGTGACACAACCTCGGCTCACTGCAAGCTCCGCCTCCTGGGTTCAAGCGATTCTCCTGCCTCAGCCTCCCAAGTAGCTGGGATTACAGGTGCCTGCCACCATGCCCAGCTACTTTTTGTATTTGTAGTAGAGACGGGGTTTCACCACGTTGGCCAGGCTGATCTCAAACTCCTGGCCTCAGGTGATCCGCCCGCCTCAATCTCCCAAAGTGCTGGGATTACAGGCGTGAGCCATTGCACCTGGCCTCCTGTTGTATTACAGGCAAAAGCTACTACACCTGGCCTCCTGTTGTATTATAGGCATGAGCTACTACACCTGGCCTCCTGTTGTATTAGTATTATAGGCATGAGCTACTACACCTGGCCTCCTGTTGTATTACAGGCATGAGCTACTACACCTGGCCTCCTGTTGTATTATAGGCGTGAGCCACTGCGCCTGGCCTCCTGTTGTATTACAGGTGTGAGCCATTGCACCCGGCCTCCTGTTGTATTACAGGCATAAGCTACTACACCTGGCCTCCTGTTGTATTATAGGCATGAGCTACTACACCTGGCCTCCTGTTGTATTACAGGCATGAGCTACTACACCTGGCCTCCTGTTGTATTACAGGCATGAGCTACTACACCTGGCCTCCTGTTGTATTACAGGTATGAGCTACCACACCTGGCCTCCTGTTGTATTATAGGCGTGAGCCACTGCGCCTGGCCTCCTGTTGTATTACAGGTGTGAGCCATTGCACCCGGCCTCCTGTTGTATTACAGGCGAAGCTACGTAGCTACTACACCTGGCCTCCTGTTGTATTACAGGCGTGAGCCACTGCGCCCACCCTCTTGTTGTATTCTTGGTGGCCAGCTCGAAGCCTGGCTTATCTTAGGTCCTTGAAAGAATTTTGTTCAATAAATAAATGGCTAAATGAGTTGAATGGAATGAATACACGAATGAATGAACTCCACTTACTTAGCAGGGCAAATAAGATTGACTGGGCTGGAGGGAGAGAGGGAAGCGTGGGAGGAGGCAGGGAGCAGAAATGCCTCCTGGGCCGCCCAGGCTGTGCTGCGTTGGTAGAGGCAGGAGGGAAATAGGGAAAAAAACAACTAAGGGCAGTGAGACAAGGCCCCTTCCCAATCCTGCCTGGGCGAGGTGCCTTGCAGGGGCCCCTGCGTCTGAGCCCTCTCTCTGGTCATGCTCTCCTCTGCTTTTCACACACCCTGCCAGGTCAGCCAGCTGAGGAGAGGGTGGAGGAAGGAGGGCTGGCTGCAGCCAGGACATTCTGGTTTGTTTACCAACAGCACAATCCTCCTGGGCCATGACACAGTCAGCAGCATCTGACCCAGTTAAATATATCTCCTCTACCGGCCTGGACCACACAGCCAGCCCCTGCAGGCCACGTAGACCAGGGACCACCCGCTCATCCTTCTGGCTTGGCGCTGGGCCTCCTCCTGACCCCAGAGCCTTGCGTCCCCAGGGAGCAAATGGCTGATCCGGGTCTGAAATAAACTGCAGTCTCTAGTTGAACTCATGTAGATAGTGTCATCTTGGACAGAATCGGAGGATTTAAGGGGGAAAACTCTATTTGTCCAGCAGTAAACAATAAAATAGCTCATCTCCCTTGGACGGCATATTTGCAGTCATTATGAATGCTTATGAAGAGTGTCTGCTAATGTTAAGAAACATTTTAGTTTCTTTACATAACTATTAATGTTATTACTCTAGTGTTAAGTGGTACAAAAAGCATACAAAATTAGATACATAACGTGAGTATAATCCTGTTTTTTAAAAAAGCATATAAATATGTCTGGAAGGAATTGCAAGAAACTGTCAACGGAGTTTGCCTCCCAGGAGGAGAACTGGGCTCTAGGGGATGAGATGGGAGAGAGACTTTTTCTTTTTATGCCCTTTTGTATGCTTTTAATTTTGAACTGTGCAAGTTTATTATGTATTCATAAGCAGATAAGTAAAAAAATAAAATAAAATACAGATCTGACAAAGAAAAAGCTTTTATGCACAAAAAGAGAGGGGCCAGAAATAACACTGAGAGGTAGAGAGTACTCATGTGGGTGATGGGCGGTGAAGACAGGCTCCCTTCTCTACGGAGAGAAAAGCTGGCCTTATGCCCAGATAAACCAAAACGTCAGCCTTGCAAACCGGTGCAAGTGATTATCACAGCTCAGCATCCGAGGCGTAACAAAGACATACCTGCCTTCAAATATTTCCCCACGGCACCTGAAATTGCAGCCTTTGGAGTCGTTCCTTAGTCTGAAGTACAGCTTCTCCAAAGGCTCCTCGCAAACATTCAGGGGCAGTGGGTGTGACCATGTTATTTTTATGTTTAGTTTTATATTATTTTTTGAGATGGAGTCTTGCTCTCTGGCCCAGGCTGGAGTGCAGTGGCACGATCTCAGCTCATTGCAATCTCTGCCTCCTGCGTTCAAGCTATTCTCCTGCCTGAGCCTCCTGAGTACCTGGGATTACAGGCGCTTGATGCCACGCCTGGCTAATTTTTTGTATTTTTAGTAGAGACTGGATTTCGCCATTTTGGGCAGGCTGGTCTCGAACTCCTGACCAGGTGATCAGCCCACCTTGGCCTCCCAAAGTGCTGGGGTTACAGGCATGAGCCCGCGCCTGGCCATGTTATTTTATCACATGGAGCGAAATGAAATAGGGAGACACACTGTGAGAAAATTTTCATTGGGACTGGGCATGGTGTCTTGCTCCTGTAATCCCAGCACTTTGGGAGGCCAAGGTAGGAGGATCACTTGAGCCTGTGAGTTTGAGACCAGTTTGGGCAATATAGTGAGACCTTAGCTCTACAAAAAAAAATTCTTTTTTAAAAAGAAAGTTTTGATTCATTTCTTGTTTTTGAGTTTATTCTTAATTTCCCATACAAATATAAACTTTCTCCTAATAGCACTGATTATAAAATAGCACATGATCAAGTAGCAAATCTGGAAAATACAGAATGTTATAAAGAATTTAAAAATCAGGCTTGGTGGCTCACGCCTATAATTCGTGTGCTTTGGGAGGCAGAGGTAGGAGGATGGCTTGAGTCCAGGAGTTCAAGACCAGCTTGGGCAACATGGCAAAACCCTGTCTCTAAAAAAAATTAAAATCAGCTTGGCATGGTGGCATACATCTATGGTCCCAGTTACTTAGGTGTCTGAGGTGAGAGGATCACTTGAGCCTGCGAGGTTGAGGCTGCAGTGAGCCAAGATTGTGCCACTGTACTCCAGCCTAGGCGACAGAGTGAAATCCTCTCTCTCAAAAAAAAAAAAAAAAAGAAAAAGAAAAGAATTTAAAAATCGAACCATGTACATCACATCCCTGAGGGAGCAGAGAGCCTGGCACATTCCAAGAGAAAAAAGGAAAAAAAAAAATGATGTGAGCTAAATAGCAGTGTTGCAGGCTCAAGTTGCAAGGCCTGAAGACCCCATTAGCTCTGCAGCCTTTGTTGAGCCCAGCAGGAAACCACTAAGGACTTGGAAGCAGAACAGGGACAGAAGTGTTTTTTGTTTGTTTACATTCGGGATCTGCTATTGTTGTCCAGGCTGGTCCTGAACTCCCGGCCTCAAGCAATGCTCCCACCTCAGCCCCCAAAGTAGCTGGGATTACAGGGATGAGCCACTGTGCCTGGCTCAGTGACAGGGTTTTAAAAGAACACTTGAGCTGGGCCAGGCACAGTGGCTCACACCTGTAGTTCCAGCACTTTGAGAGGCTGAGGCAGGAGGATCACTTGAACCCACAAATTCAAGATCAGCCTGGGCAACATAGTGAGATCCTATCTCTACAAAAAAAAGTTTTTTAATTAGCCAGGTATGATGGTGCACCCTTGTAGTTCCAGCTACTCAAGAGGCTAAGGTAGGAGGATCTCTTGAGCCCGGGAGGTCAAGGTTACAGTGAGTTGTGATCATGTCACTGCACTTCAGCCTGGGTGACAGGGTGACACCCCTGTCTCAAAATAAAAGACAACACTTGAGCTGTAGATTGGATCACAATAAGAGGTATCCATTATGCTTGGAGAAATTTAAAAATGAGATAAAAGGTATCCTGGAATAGACTGTTCATATGTACTGGAAATAGAAAGGAATATGAGAAGTAGGATATGCTAGAAATGCAGAAATAAAATGACAATAAAACAAAGAACTTAGAAATCATTCATAATTCCACCATCCAGGAAAATTGACGTCCTTCTAGTGCTTCCTCTTTGTGTCCTACTTTTCTCCTAAGAGGATATTCTGAGCATTTTCCCATGATATCAAATATTCTTGAGCATATGATTTTTAATGGCCACCTCATCATTCTATCATATAGATATGCAAACATTTATTTGACCAGTCCTGTGTTGTGAGGCATTCGGGTTGTCTCAAGTTTTTGCTAGGTTCAATTATGCTGTCATGGACTTATCGTCCAAGTTGGATGTAACAGAAAACCTAGTTCAAACAAGCATGAAGCAAACAGGAGTCAGTGGTGAAACTCAGCAGTTAAGAGGAAAGAAGCTTTGGGCAAGGCTCAGTCAGGGATCCTACTCCATTTCCCTGGAGTTCTTCAGGGTTTGCCCTTCTCTGTTGGCAGTGGTGCCCTCAGACTGGCTCCTCTGCTGCCCTTGGGTGATAAACTTTTCTGTTCGTGACCATGGGAGTGGCCTGTTTTGCTCTGACTGGGCCACCTGATGAAAGGCTAGGGTTGAGGGAGGGAATCTATAACCCTGAGTGTCTTGGGTCTGGGTTCCCAGTCCGTCCTTGAGTGGGTAACTGTGGCAAGACGTGTGAGGGTGGCTGTTGCACGATGTAGGGGAATGGGGGGAAATGCTGAGGACATAACCAAAGAACATCCTCTGGCTACTCAGAGAGGGCCTGTAGACCAGCAGCCTCCGCATCACCTGGGAACTTACTGGACATGACTCCCAGACCTAGCAGATCAGTCTGCATTTTAATAAGAGTTCCAGGAGGCAGTTCTCACATTGAAGTTGAGAAGCCCTGCCCTCT